ATCCTACATCTGCACTTGGAGATAAAAAAAAAAAAGATTATGCGTGTTTTAGTGCGTGTTATATAATGATTATTATTGAGATCAAGAAATTGCACAGGGGTCAAGAGGTCCACAAGCACACTTGAATGGTCTGTAAAGTCAGTATGTAGGCTACTTATGCACAGGCCATAATGTAACGTTTCTTTGTGGCCATCTCTCTCATGTAAAACCATTTTAAAATGTATGAAACACAGTAGCTTACATAGTCTACATTGTAACTTTTATTCAACTTTTTGCACCAATAAGTTCATTAAGTTCATTTAAATGATAATTTCTGCTGTGCTAATCAATCCTGTTTTCATAGCATGGAAGTAAACATGTACAATGGATGTTTATTTCAGCCATGCAAATGCAAAGAATGTCTGTAATTTATATCAGTGCATTTAACCATTTATCCTAGTTTTGATGTTCAGGGAAGTATATTATCTGTACCATTTGCTGCTGTTACCATAAGTTACTATTTGCACATATATTCAGGAGTATGGTTGTAAAACGTTTTTCATTTGATATTTTTTTACATGAATGTTTTAAAGTATGAAACACTTTTGCTGATACTTTCTTTTGTATACAAAAGAAAGTATCAGCAAAAGTGTTTTATACTTTATGTACCCACCTGACTGGAGCGTGGAAATATTACACTACAACGCACCAACTAAGTGTCCTTTAGACAAATTATAGATTGACAAGAATGATTATTGCTCTGTGGAGTGTGGAGCTGTCTGTGTTTAGATTTTCATTCTAGTGGATGTCTAATGTGGTTGCCAGTGTGCCTGTGTCCCCGGACATGGTAAAGCATTATAAGGTTGAGACTCTTATAGTAACTAATGGCTTCCTGTCATTGCCCGTGTTCAGGGTTATCATTAAAACCAGTGAAACCAGTGCTCCTGTAATTGTGCAATGTATGGGGCACAACGATTTAGCAAAAACTGATAATATATTCATATATAATATAATGATTTGTATAATATTAACTTGGTGTTCCATTCATTAGGACATTTTGTGATTTATTTACTTTATGTTACTTGCCAGACATTTGCTTTTAAATTAAAGCTCTTTTACCTTGCTATGCTAAATTAACCGTTCAACCTAATCTCCTAAATCACTGCACAGTTTTTTTTTAACGAGCCAAGTATCACATTGACTAAGATTTCTATTTTTGTATTTTTTGCATCCTTCAAACAAATGTCATTTATTGCTTTTATAAATGACATTGACTTTAAATTGGTTGTATAGTAATCTTTTTAAGGAAATGAAAATAACTGTTTTAAATTCTGATGCGGGGCCAGAGGTTTCCCCGAAGTTGACACACATGCCACAAGTTAGAATGGCAAGTTCACTTACACTCAGTCTGATGAAGTTGGTGCATTTTTAAGCATTTCTAAAGGATGTGGTGGGTTTTTTATCCTGGAAAAAAATTAAAGATAAACACTTTGTTGCAACAGCACCATCTGGTGACCCTTCATGAAAAAGAAAGGCCAGCACAACCCTACTGAATGGCCATACTAAAATACGGGATAGTCAAATCCATCTCAGCAGGGGTTGTGTATTTTTAATTAAAGCTAACATGTGACTAGACTGCACCTGCTGCTCGTGCTGCAGTGATTTTCCAGCATGCCTTGCAACCAACCGGCTTGCATGCTGAGTTCAATGAGCATAAGAGCTCCAGCTTTTAAGCCCTCAAAGCTATCTTAAAGACTAATATTTGGTTTGTTAGGGGATTCATGCATTCAAGTCCAAAGGAATAATTAAAGAGGGATGTTCAGGCAAGCAATACAAATATTATAAATCCCATAAAAACCCCTGGAACATCCACATGGTTCCATCTCAATGGAATAAAGATACAATAAAGGTGGTAAATTTTTGAATTTTGATTAGATGTTATAGGATCATACAGATTGTAAAACAGTGAGAAAGTGCTAAGTTCATATTTGTAGAAGTAATTTTGTCCCTAAAACTGTTATATTTGGTTATTAGATTTGAGATGTCCAGGTTTAGCACTGGTTTGCTTTGGTGGAAAGTTTAAACTTAGCGATCTAGTGGCTGCTCAGCTGAGATCTGCTGAGTAAATGCCCAAAGTGGAAATAGTATAAAACCTTGGTAAAACAAAACAGCCTGTAATTATATATACATCTGTCTTGACCTCATTTAAGTCTTTGCACTGACATTTCTGAACTTGAATATTTCCCTAACCAAAGTGTCCTAAAAACAGGCAACAAGAGGTTTTGGACCAAAGATAGTGAAATAAAAAGATGCCTTACTTGAAAAATACAGAACAGATTTCATGGAATCACTGTTTCCTGTTCTAGTAGACACCCTTCATCAGTACTTGGTGCAACAATCCAATGTTTGTTATAAATAGATCCACTGCTCTGCACAATCAGCCTTTTAGACAGATTTATTTTCCTACTCTTGGCTCTGTATGATACCAATGAGTAGTGAAGTCCTTAATATATCTCAAGCACACAGTTTTGACTGTGAGCACTGAAGCCAGATTCAAATGTTCTGTTTGTGAGGGGCAGCCAATCAGAAAAAGAGTTGGCTCAAGGAGAGGGCTGGGTTATAAATGAGTGGAAAGGTTTGTTTTTGATGAAGTGAGAAGCTGTATTTTGGAATGTGAATCATGCAAAGCTATTGTAGAAAAATCCAACAACAAAAATATGGAACTGGAAATGAACATTAGTTGTGTGCAAATTTTGGTATTGAGACGACACCAAGTACATACAGCGCCAGTGTTGTTGATACCAATACTGATACTTTTAACCTATGAATGCAGCCTATGTAAGGAAGAGCAGATTATGATTTATGAGACAAATCATCATCAATTTGCACATTCTTAACATATTTTAATGACCACTAAATTACTGTGTCTTTGTCTTTCTACAATAATTAGCTAATATATAAAAATAAATATAGGTTTTGTTTTTAAACTGTTTTTTTTTTTTTTGGAGACCTAGAATGTAAATGTGCCTGTCTCTGAAGCACTTCTGTTGTTTAAATGTGCCGTAGGCTATAAATAAAATAGACGTGACAGTCAACACAAGTTCCGAAAATTTTCATAGTAGGCTACAGCACATGCCACATGATGTGACATTGCAAGGCTAGCATAAAAACACCTTTAGAGAATAGAAACAAAGTATCGATTCTATCGATCCAATACCAATCTGATACTAATACCATCAGTGCCGGATCTAGAAAATCATACATGGGGGAGGAGAAGGAGAGGGGCAAGAGGTCTAGACAGGGTGGCATATACAACTTTAGTGAAGTATGTGTAAAAATCACCTATATGTAAATGGAGCCAACAAAATAATAAAAAAAGAAGCAATCAGCTTTTACAAGTATTCTAAGAACATTAAAGTTGTGTGTTTGTTTTGGGGGGGGACGACAAGGGCCAGCGTCCTGCAGGTTTTAGATGTGTCCTTGGTCTAACACAGCTGATTTAAATGGATAAATGACCTCCTCAACATGTCTTGAAGTTCTCCAGAGGCCTGATAATAAAACTAATCATCCGGTGTGGTGACCAGAGATGTTAACAAGTAACGCGTTACTGTAATCCGATTACTTTTTTTGAGTAACGAGTAAAGTAAGGGATTACTATTGCAAAAACGGTAATTAGATTACTGTTACTTTCCCGTAAGCACGCTGCGTTACTAAAACCGTGATTTTCTTGCGAGAGTGTCTCATGACAATGACGTAAGCGAGTGCGACGTTCGTGGCAACAGCTGTGTGCAGATCAACAATGGATAATATGTCGAGTACGGGAAACAGTATGAGCATGCAGCGTTTAAAGCGTGGAAGTACTGACCTTACTTTGAGTTTGATTCCGTAAAAAGTGACAAAAACATTAGCGTCCGCTGCTCACTGCGTGGGAAGAAAACCCCTAAACTTCCGAGCAAGCACCGAGTGCGCTACCACGTAATGTGAAATTCACAGAGAAACTCACGGATTCTTCAACTGACCGCTGCGGCACACCTGCACCAGGGCAAACCTCCGCCTACGCCTCTCCTGCTTTACAGGTGAAAATAGAGCAACAGGACCGCTAGTCTTTGATTTTATTTATTTTCTGCTGTGTTTCACTTGCATTTATTTGAAAGAGTGTAAACACAAAAAATATTTTATTTTATGTGCTGGAATGTGCAGAAAATAGGTTTAAATATTAAACAAATTTCTTCCAGTCAGAGAATGTTGCATATAATTTAATTTTTGCTTGATGCATAAAGTTAAAAGATTAAAACTAATAAAACAAGTTTACAAAATGAGACTTTTCCCTTTGATTACATTTTGTATGATGGATTATGCAGAAAAAGTAGAATTGGGCTGAAAGAGCTATCACTTTATTACCTATTCAGGTTGTAAATCGTGTTTTTAAAAAGTAACTAAGTAATTAATTACTTTTGAAAATAAGTAATCAGTAAAGTAACGGGATTACCTTTTGGGGGAAGTGATCAGTAATTAGTTACTGATTACTTTTTTCAAGTAACTTGACCAACACTGGTGGTGACCCCCCCACACATGGTTGCACTGAGTAGGAGACTCTGTATGTCATTGTACATTGGTATAGTGACAATAAAGGTATTCTATTCTATTCTATATCTAAAACCATCAGGACACCGGCCCCTGAGGCCTGGAGTTCCCCAGTCCTGCACTACAGAAAGGAGGCAGTAGCCCCCCCGCCCCCCGTAGATCCGCCCCTGAATGCCAGCATCGGTATTTGATTGATCAACCCACTTCAAATGATCATAACAGGTAGGTTTAATACATGTACTGAGCATAGCCATGTCCCCTGTAGACAAAAATTGTAATTGTCCCTGTTCTACAATTATCGCAAAAATATATTTTGCCCCTTGTGATGCAAACTAATATTAGATTATTAATATGTCCCTTGTACTTCCGTGACTGCTATTTAGATATTTGGGCCACCCGAAAATGATGCTGAGTGAGCTCTCATCCTTTTTTCCCCTCATCTCCTGGGTGGACCAACGGCGACGTTTCTGCCCAGTGACGCAGAGACGTCAGCAGTCGGTGGGCGGAAAAGCGGTAGTGTGTTTCTGTAAGTGCAGATAAAGGCGAACCGGGTGTTTTTATCAAGTCCTTTCATACAGGGATAACGTACGACTTTAGTTCCGAGCCTGGTGAAATGGCGGTTCCTGCGGGTCAGACGGACGTCCAGATGGACCGCGGCGCCCTGAGCGGCCAGACGGTTTCCTCCGAAAACAACATAGACATCGACGAGAAAGAGTTGGAAAACATCACAAAGAAACACCGAGAAGAAGACACGGCGACGCTGCCTCTGCACTCGCCTTGGACGTTTTGGCTGGACAGGTAGTGATATTACTGCGTCTCCTTCCGCGTTGTCTTTGAGCTTTGAGCCCGGCACGAGCACAAACAAAGAAAGAAAAGAGAAAAAAGATGAAGAGCGGTGGTGGGGAGAGGGGTATCATTGTAAGGCCACAGCTTTCCCGGAGGCCTCCCGCAGCAAAATATAGCGGGAGAAGTGTTCGCATCTAACGCGACCTTGTTGTGTTCCCGGGTCCTGACAGTCACTCACAGTCCGCAGGACAAGTTCGCCTTGACAGGTTTTAGCCTTTCAGACGTGCAGCAGAAGTTACTTTGATTAGCTTCTCTCAGCAGGGGGGAGCGCAGAAGGGAGGGTTTGGGGTGAAACTGATAGTTGTTGCACTTTTCTTTAAAACCTCGACGCCTTTAAAGAGCCCAGGCTCATCTCTCGTTGTTTTCACAAACGGCTAAGTGCAGCTAATCTGCGTCTTTTATTGCAAGGCTTTGCTACATAGGAACCCTTGCTCGGTGCAGTTTCGTCCTAAGCCGTCATTAAATGCAGCCCTAAACATCGCATGGCTTCTTTTTTATGAGGTCATGGGAATATCCCATGTTTATCATGGATACTCTGCTGGTTATTGTTGATTTATTTATTTTAATAATAACACTTTTAGCTTATGTATTTGCTGGCAGGAGTTTTATATAAAGAATGAGGACTGAAAAACACCCAGATTATAGAAACAATACACACATACAATAGTTACCTGCTAAAATATACGTTTGTATGTTATTAACGTATATTTTAGCGGTTTTTGTTTTGGTTTTCATTTATCCTTTTTTTATGTTCTTTTTCTAACAAAGCTCTGTAACATGTTACTCAGTCTTCGTCTGTCTATAAAGTCAAGCAAGTGAAACTTATTCAGCAGTACTTTATAATAACAGCGGCTGCATCAAGCATATCTGGTGTCAGCTTTTTAAATATTACCATTATTTCCCTGTTAAACGCACTGCATTGTTTTTGGTGTGACATTAAGTCGTTTCCTGTGTTCCTGCAGGTCACTGCCCGGCACCACAGCAGCAGAATGTGAGTCCAACTTGAAGAAGATCTACACAGTGCAAACTGTTCAGGTGAGATCTGGCGCCAGCTTAAAGAGTTTTTTCATCTTAGGAGCAAAGAGATCAAGTGCGTGACTCGGCTAAGAGTCAGAGCCATTTGAGAAGAGTTTCTGTGATGTAAGGGAGCGAGCAGGTCAGAGCCACGGTGGGTGCAAAACATTAGAAGTGCAGTGCAAAGTTAACTGACAGCTTTTATGAAGTGCATTTCAGCCGTCTGTGTTATACTAAAGTTTTTTTTTTCTTTTTACTTGTATGTGCAAACTTATTGTTTATTAATATCACTAATGTGACTGACGGTAGCTACTGCTCATGCTCGTGTCGGTTACAGTGCTTTGATATGATGCTCTGAAGGCTTCTTTTGTAAATGAAGAGAAGACGCTGTGTTATTTTTATCAGGAATATCAGCGTGCAACGTGCTCTTAAACTTATTGTATGAGGCTTATTGATGATTTACACTTAAGTAAAGAATCCAAGCCTTAAGTCATAACTGCAAACCCATCTGAAACCCTACAGCATAACCTGACATGTACCTCCTTATAGAAGATACACATCAGCGCAGCCCACAGCCACTGTTGGCCTGATCAAGGCTGTGGGTTGCCTTTTTAAATTTCTGGCAACTTTTTTGCTGCAGTTTTTCAGTAAGAGAAGTAACAGTCATTGTCTTAGTATAAAGAATAATAATCATAGTGTCAATATAAGCACTCATAAATGTCTGCAAATTTCCAGAGGGAGGCTGCTGAGACCATTGGAATGGGGCAGCTTGTGTAGATGACATCGAAGGCTCTACAAAGATTCCCCGCAGAAGTCTAAATCAGGCTTTACGATTGTATAGTTCAATGGAGTTTGAATCAAGCAGCTGGAAAAAGCAACAAAGTGTGATACAGCTGGGCTCATTCTGGAGTTTTGTGTGTGGAAATTCAAGCAGCGTGCAGAATGCGTTGCCATTAATTACAGCTGCAGTGGTGTGAAGCTTTGTTCGGGTGAATCAGATTTGTTTCTTAAATTAGATTTTTAGGACGGACTGTTTGGTTTTATTGTTTGAAATCACAGAGACACTCGCGATACACAAAAGCATTACGTTGCTCGTGCTAACGATGATACCACAGAACAGCACTTCTGCAACGCAGTGCAAGGCAATCTGTGACACAATGAGATCTCTGTGTAACTGAAGATGGAAAAGTTGACACATTAAAAAAAAAATTAAACTGAGAGCAAGGATTCTATTTTTACCACATTAGTGTTATCAGTGTCTGCCAGTATTAATATAATTATTATGATTATTGCTGCGCTGTTGTCTCATTTTTCCTATTGAGTTTTGTCTTCACTGCAAGTTTGTTAGCGTGTGCTTGTCCCTCTGTCGTTCACCACGAGGAGTCATGAAGTCGCAACTCAAGTTAGTTTGTTTGGCTTTGTGTCACATGAATCAGTTGTTCACCATCTACAAGCTGTGGCTGGTAACCCTGCAGCTCACTGGACCTCCAGAGCTAAAAAGCTGGTCTTACCGCAGCAACAACCTGGCCAGTAAGCCTCCAAATACATAGCAGATATTAGAATGCCTGGGCAGCCCACCCATTTAAAGAGGAAGAATTATATGAATTGCAATCAGTGTGCCTTTTCCATATTTGCAAGTGATCAGATCAAAATGTAAAGCCAGACGTCACAAACCTGTCTGCATAATTTGCCGTTCCAGTGTTGGCATTGGTGTCCATGTAGCTATGCTGGTGAAACAGCCTGATAAATTGTCTTGTTCCGGTTGGTTCCTCCAGCTTTGCCTCTTTAGAAGCCACTTCCAAAAGTGGCAGCAGATAAATTTATTTCAGTTTCTGTCTGCAGACTGTTGCCCTCTATGTTGTCCTCCACAGGGCTCTGTTGGTAGCAACGTGGATTCTGCTAAATATGTCTGTCACTCTGGATCTGCCGCTGTGCTTTGCATAGTGAGGGACTTGAAAGGCACTTTGAAACCCAATTTGGGCAGGCAGAGCAGGTGGACTGAAACATGTCTGTAGAAATCCAATTGGAATTGCTTGTCAAACTAAGACCTAATTTATTCCTCAAAGTCCCCCCACAAGCTGTGGAAAATGCAAATAAAAGCAGATTGCCATAAACTGTAAATCTCATAAACCCCCATTTTATTCACAAGACACCATAGAAAACATGTCAAATGTTTAAACTGAGAAAATTTACAATTTTATGTGTTGTTGTTTTTTTGTTTTGTTTTTAAAGGTATCTAGGTTTAAGTTGAATGGCTGCCACGTGTCTCAGAATAAGGTGCGACAGTGTCATGTTTACCACTGTGTAGCATCCACTTTTCCTTTAGCAAGTGTTGGGAGAGGGTTTTGTCCCGTTCTACATTTTTCATTTTATTATTTATCAAATATTTTGGGTTGGTGAAAGGACTGGATTAGGACTGCGGCTATTGGTTATTTTAGTAATCAAGTTTTCTATCAATTATTCCATCTGTTAGGAGTAATCAGAAGAAATTTATGTCTTTGTCTTATTAATGAACAATAACAAATATCCACAAGGGAAACAAACAGGTCTTTTAAAATGATTTCATTGGTTTCCATTGTAGAAATCGTAACGTTCTTAATAGTTTAACTGCGTACATCTGCCAAAAATAAACTGTTTCATTGTATCTTCATGTCATATTAAAATCATATTTCTTTTGAAATGCCAAAATAAAGTATCACAAATACAGTAATGTAAATAAAATAAGATGGCTTCTCCTGGATGAGGCAAATTTGGTGCATTCATGTGTTTGTGTATATTTTATCAAATATTAATTAAAGCTGAAAAATAGTGTCACTAAGGCCTTGAAATAATGATGGTCTAGTACACGCTGTCATCTGTAATTGCTTCAGGTATCACTGTGATAGAAGGTGGGGCGGCTGTTGAAGAGTCGTGTCATGTTACTGTTGCAAAATGTTCCTCCAGCTGTTCCTTTTTAGCACCAGTTACTTTGTAATTACTTTTATTACCCTGGTTACATATTCTTTGAGATCTGTTGCTGCCATCAAATTAAAAATGAGCTAATATTTTTCATGAAACTGTAAAATGTCTCATTTTAGGGAGATCTGAGGACTTGGCGTCCCAACTTTTTGGAATTATTTTAGATTTGTTACCAGAATCACATTTTCTGAGCTTTCTTTCTTTTTCTCTTCTGTCCACACATTCAAAACATCAATATTGAAATCATGCAGCTCCATTTATAATGGCTAAAATGATAAACTGTAAATTACAGTGAAGTCATTAAAAAAAGAGAGCAAGAAATTGTTTTTGTAGCACTGCAGAAAGGTATTTTTTAGTTTAAGAAAAAAAAATATAAAGAAAGAAATGGGGATGTCACTATACCAGAAATGTAGTAGTTGATACCAATGTGTTTGTTTATTGAACACAATTTAATACCACACTAAAGAAAAATGGGGGGAAAAGTAATGTATGAATGATGATGATGATGATGATGATGATAACAACTGTAATAATGATGGTAGTATTATATTTTATTGACATGACACTAATATGAGGTTTAACTGTTAATGTCATTCCATTAGCTTAAGCATTTATATAACATTAGACATTGCTAGCATTTAACCTTTGGTCTGAAGTTGATTTCACAATAACAGTGTCTGCTGTTTGAAACAAAATGGTAAAGAGTATTTTGGGATGACGCGAGAAGGATGACAATAACACTCTGTATGCTGTTAATATGAGCTGAAACTCCTTCAGCTTGGATTCTTTGAACAGATCTGGATGGCCATGTTTTAGGCTCTTTGCTAAATTGGAAGCGTTCCCAATGTGACTTTTACAAATCCGTTGTCACCCCTTTTTGAACCTTGTCAAGCACAAAGTACCAGCTTACCTGACTCTTATTGTATTTCTTATCAATGACATGCCTATAAAGAAATCAGCTCACCATATTTAAGCATTTACACTTTTCATTTTAATCAAAGGTAGCTAAATTTAAGTTTCCACCACCAGGGGCCAGGGTTTTCTTAGAAACCTTTAGTATATAAAATGCAACCTTTGTTACGATTTTTAGGTGGTGCAGTCCTTTTTTTAATTAATGAAAAGCTACAACCTTTTTCTGATTTAAGTCGGTCTTATTGGAAAAATAAAAAAGAGAACAAATGGACAATAAAAGCAAACGTAGTTACTTAAAACAGATTTGCTGTTCAGCTGGCAACCGTCCATTTATGTTCACTCCATTTATGCCTGCTAAATCATTTATCCCTGTATGTGAGCACACTTCACTGTGACTCAGCTTTGTGGCTTTTACGCTGAGGTACTTTGTGCTGGGGTCCCTACAGCAGATGGATGTTTGATTTGACACCGGATGTATGTATCCAGGCTTCAGACCAGTTCTAGGAGTACACTAACTTGTGAGCCTCTGAGGCCGGGTTCGTGTCTCCTCTGATTCTTGAACCAGGGATGTGTCAATCGGTGTAGAGCCGGTGCCAGGTGCTGACACTGGTGCTAGCATTTATACCCATGTGTGGTGTGTCTTGGTTGCTCTGCAGCTTTCCCTCCAAAATATTAGTCGTGAGTTGATAATTTGCTTCTAGTTAATCATAAAAATTGTGCCAAAAAACAAAGTAGCTAGAAATGCAAGAGAGAAGTCAGCTGCACCAATCGCAGGCATTGCGCACTGCATTGATGTAGCATGCAGTTACATTTCTATGGAGGTGCATATTAGGCTACACATAAGTTGTGGTAAATGGTTTCAGAAGGGTTTGCAGTTACAACAACCCTACAGCACAGATTTAATATGGAAGTATAATCCCGCTGTAAGCCGCATGTATTAATCACTTGATGCTGAAAGTGGGATCTTTCTTTTTGTTTGCAAAGATGTATCAAGCAGCTACCTACAACTACGCACATATTCTGTATATTTGTACCACACCATTAGCTTAACAGCAAGTGCATAGCCTTACATTAATAAAGCGTAACATGACAGCATTTTATTGTTTTACTCTCCAAGAGCTGTCGCCAGCAGTGGGAGTCTGCTACAACTTTTTTGTTTTGTTTTTTTTCTTCCCCCTCTGGGAGTTTGTACTTGTCATGATATGGGTTGCCTTCCAGGTGCAGACATTGTTTGGTGTCCCACTGACATTTTACCCGTTTCTCGTGTTTCACGTTGGCCTGCGGATGCACTGAAAGCCACACTGACTCACTACACCGTCTTATGATAGAAGTTACTATTGCAATTCACGTCTGTTTCTGAATCCAGCTGATATCTATATAATACAAAACATAGATGCACCATCCATCCAATTCCTTCCACTTATCAAATTCAAAGTTGCACAGGGGGAGGAGCCCATCCCAGCTGTTACACAATGAGCGCACCCTGGACAGGCCACAGACGGACTGAGAAGGATGACAATTCATGCTCACATTAAGTCTAAGGCCAAATTCAAATCACCAACAATATGCATGTGCATAAACTGTGGGGCTACCCGCACTAGCACAGAGAGAACAGGGAGACTCCACAGATCGCAGCGTGCTGGTGGATTTAAACCCAGGATCTTGTTGCTTTGATGCGACACTGCTGACCACCACACAACTGTGCCATCCAGTCATTGGCATGTAGGCACGTGGCTCTCCAAGGCCCTGCCTCCGCTTTCCTCCCAGATCTACACTGGAACCTACTGGACTCACTGGTTTCCCTTTCTGTAACCAGTCCTCTTTTTAGATGCACGAAAATGTAAAATGCTACTAATGCTTTAAATCGACAGAGATGTTTTGGACATTAGGTCATAACAGTTGTTTCATCATTCTGCTGATAGCTGTAGTGAATAAATTTTGTATTAGATACTTTGTTTAAAGCCAGTTTCAATTTAAATACGACTTAGCTTGTCTAGCAGAGAACACTGACATTAAAAAGTCCTTCCATGTATATCATGATCAAATGTCCATTTCTGTGCCAGCCACAAAACTCCAATACAAGAGCAGCCATTATTGAGCTGCTTCTCTCTGTTTGCAGATGTTCTGGAGTGTATACAACAACATCCCTCCAGTCACAGCCCTGCCTTTGAGATGTAGCTATCACTTAATGCGTGGAGAGCGGAGGCCGCTGTGGTGAGTCTGTAACTGTCAATATTCCAGTATTCACGGGTGTGTAGAGATGAGCAAATGAAAAATCTCTCATGCAGCAGCTGCTGTATAATACTCCCTGATCTTGATTTTAAAAAGCCCTGTTATTTAATAGGCTGCACAGTAACGTGTTTTAATCTTTTACACAACAGGGAAGAAGAGAGTAATGCAAAGGGAGGCGTATGGAAGATGAAAATACCAAAAGAAAACACTGTATGTGCCGCCCTCTGATTATCTGCTGCCATCATGTAAACAAATCTGAATCATTCATGAGCTTTTCTGCCTTTTTCCTGTTTCAGTCTGTAGTTTGGAAAGAATTGTTACTCGCTACTATTGGAGAGCAGTTTGCAGATTACTGCGCCTCAGGTTTGTTTAGTTCTTAAAAAAAAAAAAAGTAAATCGCATAAGTGGATTTACTGTTAACATCGCTTCTCTTTTTGACAGATGATGAGGTGGTTGGCGTCAGCGTTAGCGTCCGGGATCGGGAAGATGTTGTACAGGTGTGGAATAGCGATGCATCTCTCGCTAATGAAGCAAATATCTTGGGGAAAGTTTATGAGCTGCTCCCGTACATATCTTTTAAAGCTGTTTTTTATAAGTGTAAGTATGCCTGTTTTTTGTTTCACTTGTACTTTTGAATTCACGCTAAAGGTTTAAAGAGGGAAGCAGGTACTCTCTTTATGGTATGAGGTAGATGAGAGAATAAGAGTAAACTGTGCATACTTGAAGGACCTAACCAGAACATGTAAGCATGTCACAGAATGATTTAAGAAGGGTGCATGGCTGTAGGCTGATCAGGCAGCAAATTCCCCCCATATGCCTTCTTACTTGCTTCACATAACACATTGAGATGGGCTCTTTTTGTCTCTGCCTGTTACATATTTGTAGCCAAAAATGTAATGAGCTCCACTATTTAAGTGACAGTGTATAAGTTGTAGCTGAGTTCTGTTTCCTGCGTGTGTAGTGATCTAAATTTGTGTGTCTTTCAGCTCACATGGAGCATCATGCCTTTGAGGGAGGACGCTCAAGACATTAGATTCTACTGCCGCCCCACCCCCCTTTTTTTTTTTTTTTTTTTTTTTTTTTTTTAAACCTGAACTCTGTTCCTGCCTTGGCGTGAAGGCGCTGTCCACAACCTAATCGAGGATATTATTTTGCTCTCAACAAGGAAATGTTATTAATCTATTTTTATAACTTTTAATGACTGATGCCTTGTTTCATTTAAATGTGGGTCCTAACAGCTCGAAACTCTCGAGAGAATGTTTATCCAGCGTAAATCTCACCCCGAGTTCGTTACTTCACGTCGATTTTTTTTGCCTTTCCTGCTACACTGAACTGCACTGCCACCATGGTCCCGTCATGTGCACAGACTGTGGACCTCGCAATTTTATTCCTGGTAGAGGTAGCAGCTACTTAACCTAGCTAGTTTCAGCTGTTGTGTATGTTAGACGTATGCATTCATGTCGTGTTTTAATCAAGTCTGCTTTTTCGGTGCCAAAGCACTTTCCTGCCATTTAAGGAGCTTGTATCTTAATGGTGAAGGTGTCGTTTGTATTCAGCTGGACATTTGCCACTTGGATGGAGGTGGATGTCCCAATTGGTTTCTTGAATCTTCATCAAGTGTACATCAAACTGAAATCAGGGTAACATTTCAAAGATATTGCACATAGCTGCCAGTTCCCATTATGATGTTATCTAGTTATAAAGCTGTCATATAGCACAGATGTGACATTCAGAGCCTGCATATTTGGCTTGTGATTTTATCTTTTCTTTTTTTTTTTTAACAGCGTTATCCTGTAAGGTGCCTCTAACAACGCTCCTCTCCACACCCTGTTGGACATTTCTTTCAATATGCACGTTGAAAGACCCCACCCCCGCCCCGCTCTCTTAAACGGAGACATAGATTGTTTGGGGGAGATACGTGGCACATTTTTGTGCTCGGCTCTTTGGTGTTTGTCTCTACTTGTTTCTCCTACCAATAAATCTAGTAGTTTGCTTACTTGGACTGTGTCCATTAAAACACACACACACACACACACAGAGGGAAAGGGGGCTGGATTATTGGCTTAGAAGAATGTTACTGAAGGTCCTGCTTTTCCCAGATTTAGCAATGTTTGTAAAAGGAAAAAATATGATTAAGCAAAAAAACAGCAGATATGACAAGTTTCAGTTGTCACGACATCGATGAAAAAAAATTACTCTTATACTGTAGGTCATAATTCTGTCCCAGTCATACATTTTTATTTGTATTTTTAATTTTTTGTCACAAACCTTTTTTTCTGCGTCTCAAATCGGTTTCCTTCACTAACCCTGTTCCCGTGCCGTGGTTTTATTGCAGTGTAGGGCTTCAGTTACTGAAACGCTTCTGGTATGTCAGCACCACTTTTATAGTTCAACTTTGGACGGGTTGATGGTTACGAGAGGAGAATTTGTCCTTTGTAAACATATTGTGCAGTGATCCGGGCAAAGTAAATAAAATTGAGCCGAAAATGAAGTGCTCATCACCGGCGTTTCATTTTGCACAATACAAACATCAATAACAGGCCCGTTAAAGGAAATTAATGTTATTTCATGGGGAATGTCTCGGTGTATTAAAAGCTTTTGCATATCCTCAGCCACTTTGTGCTAATTCATTCTGGCAGCGCATTGATTTTGGTCCTCACACACCTTGTAATCGTAAGACCTGATTTTAAATACTGACTGGTGGTGATTATATGACTGATAACCTCAGCTTTTCAGTCATGAATTTTTAGAGCTTCCATGAAGCAAGTTTGCTACTGGTAACATTAATACTGGCGTTAATTAGATGTGAAAGTTTAATCTGAAGAGAACAACTTGCTGTTGCTGTTTGGAAATAAGATGCAGGCCTCAAAATCACAAGAGGCTAAAGGATGCAAAGGATCATTACCACATATAATCTTTGTAATGTACCTCGTGGAGCTTTCAGTAAACTTTCTCAGAGACCAGAAAGGCTCAACCCATCTAAAATGACCTCATTCACAACACAAGTAGTTGCTGCAAAGTTCCTTGTAAGTTCACTGACCCCCTCAGTCTAAATATGTGTATGAAATGTTTTGGCAATAAACACTGCAACATTTCTCCGGTCTTTAGTGAGCACTGTACAACAAGCTGGAGCGAGCGACTGTGAAATTAGGATTTTGGGGCTCTGAACATGTCTAATACCCAAGATATGATGTAAATAGCCCCTGTGCAGCTCCTGGCCGTGCACAGATCCATTCCTAGATTTAGTTAAGTTACATACTGTCTGTTTTCCTACTGATCGTGCCTGTTATGAGCAGCCAGTTGAAATGGTTTATACAGTTGTTTGTAGCTGACCATTGGCCCAGTGTGGACATAAAGGGATGGACATGGTCAGCAACAATGCTCAGTTGGTACTAAGGTGCCCAAAGTGTGCCAAGAAGATATCCCTTTCACCGTTGCACCACCACCACAAACCTAAATTAGTTATACAAGGCAGGATGGATCCATGCTCTCACACCGTTTACATCAAATTGTAAACATGCACATGTCACAGCAGAAGTTTAGACTCATCAGATCATGCAATATTTTTCCAACCTGCTATTGTTCAATTTTATTGAGCTTGTGTAAACTGTAGGCTTCCTGACAGGACTGTCACCTGGTCTGGTCTTCGGCTGCTGCAGCCCATCTGTTTTAGGGTACTGTTTTATATAATCAGAGATTCTTCTGCATACCTTGGTCTATAACAGATTATTTTGCCCTACTGTTGTCTTCCTATCAAAATACCCACAAACTGGAAAACGCCAGTCAATCAGCAATTCTCGGATCAGTCCGTCTGGCACCAACAACCATGCTTTGTTCAAAATCACTCGACTCACCTTTCTTCCCCATTTTGGATCTTGACCGTACCGACATGGTTAAATGTACTGAGTTGACGCCATGTGATTGGCTGATTAGACATTTGCATTAAACGGTTAAACTAGTGTACCTAAGAAAGTGACTGGAGAGTGTATAATAAGTGTTGTTATTTTCCTGCTAAAATGTGAATTACTGACAAGAAGACTGCTTGTTAGCACTTCCTCTGGTAACAGTCACACCAAATGTCTTTGTTATCACACTGGCATTAAAAGAGCTGAAAGGAAGCTTTTGTGGGTTCATGATTGCATGTGTTTGGCAAAGATGTGTGATATGTTTCCAATTAATATGGACTGTAAATGAACAACAGTCCATGCAGCGCCTCTCGCCCTATGACAGCTGGGATAGGCTCCAGCACCCCAGTGACCCTGAAAGAGGACGGCTGTATATTCCAAATGCAACATTGTTTAGGTTAGCTTTAACAGTTTAAATAGAATTTAAATAGAGTTCAAGTACAACATGGCAAGATGTGTCAAGACGATACGTAACTATGAATGGTTAAAACTGAAGCCTGTGCAGTGCCTTAAATCTGCATTCTTTTAAATGACCAGCAGGCGGTGACTTACACTTGCAAAAAGAGGAAGCATTTTAAAGGGAAGTCAGGGGGAAAACAGCATTGGTCTCTCTTAATGTGTGGTTTCAGTAAACAGTTTCCTGATGTGTTTTAGTTTTCAGTCACTTAGTCTTACTTAATGCATCATCATCTTCACTTTGTAAAATATGGTGCCGGATAAAGTAAAGAAAACTATGCATTGTTAATACAGCACCATAAAAAAATACAAAGTGCTTTGACAGACAGGCAGAAAATAAATACTCAAAGGTCAGATTTAAACAGAACGCAAGATGGCTAAACAGCTTGAGGGAAAAAGGCATCACATGTAATGGAATCAAAGAAATGCATGCCTCGAAACATGTGTTTTAACATGTGATTTTCAAGCTGGTGGCTGGTTGGTAACTTTATCTCCTCAGAAGGTCATCCCAAAGTGAAGAGGGCCATGTGACACATCAAACTTATTGGTAGTGTCACAAGAAAAACAATGGTGTGCTTGGTTGCAACGTAACTTTATTCTTTCATGAGTTATTTACAAGTTTCTCACCACTTATAAAATGTGTTCAATGTGCTGCCCATTGTGTTGGATTGTCAGTGCAACCCTCTTCTCCCACTCTTCACACACTGATAGCAACACCACAGGAGAAATGCCAGCACAGGCATCCAGTATCTGTAGTTTCAGGTGCTGCACATCTCGTATCTTCACACCATAGACAATTGCCTTCAGATGACCCCAAAGATAAAAGTCTAAGGGGGTCAGATCGGGAGACATTGGGGGCCATTCAACTGGCCCACGATGACCAATCCACTTTCCAGGAAACTGTTCATCTAGGAATGCTCGGACCTGGCACCCATAATGTGGTGGTGCACCATGTTGCTGGAAAAACTCAGGGAACGTGCCAGCTTCAGTGCATAAAGAGGGAAACACATCATCATGTAGCAATTTCACATATCCAGTGGCCTTGAGGTTTCCACTGATGAAGAATGGACCCACTATCGTTGTACCCCACATACCACACCAAACCATCACTTTTGTTGTTCCAACAGTCTTGGAGGGATCCATCCAATGTGGGTTAGTGTCAGACCAATAGCGGTGGTTTTGTTTGTTAACTTCACCATTCACATAAAAGTTTGCCTCATCACTGAACAAAATCTTCTGCGTGAACTGAGGGTCCTGTTCCAATTTTTGTTTTGCCCATCCTGCAAATTCTGTGCGCCGATCTGGGTCATCCTCGTTGAGATGCTGCAGTAGCTGGAGTTTGTAAGGGTGCCATTTGTGAGTAGCTAATATCCACCGAAGGGATGTTCGACTAATGCCACTCTCCAGTGACATGCGGCGAGTGCTACGCTGTGGGCTCTTGCTGAATGAAGCTAGGACAGCCACTGATGTTTCTTCATTAGTGACAGTTTTCTTGCGTCCACATTTTGGCAAATCCAACACTGAATGATGTGTCACATGACCCTCTTCCTATTGAAGAAACAAAAGTTGTATCCAAGATGGCCGACTTCTAAATGGCCACCATGGTCACCACCCATCTTGAGGAGTTTGCCCCCTCACATATACTAATGTGCCACAAACAGGACTTTAATATCACCAACCATTCCCATGTTATTACGGTGTATCCATATAAATGGCCCAC